ACCTAAGGGTAGAAGGGAGAAGGGGTACCCCCACCCCCGTTTTTAGTGGAATGTATCCAGTGTCAGTATGACTGACCTAGAATCCAGTTTGAGAAGTTGAAGGGAAAAATACCTCATCAGAGAAGAGGAAGATGTTTAATAGAATTATTTAAAAATCTTTTTTAAAAATTCTGGTTAAGCACTAACTATGAAGGCTATAAGTACTGAGGAAAATCAAAACAAACTTTCCTCTTAGTTTATTTCTGTTAATTGGTTCTTTTGTAGTCAAATTTTATATCGCTCTTTAAGTTAAAACAGACTTCCTTTGTTATCCTTAGACTTACACATAACTGAGTAGTGTAGTTCATTGAAATATTTTTGCAAAGTTGGATGCAAGTGAATTTCAGTAAATTCCAGTGATTTCCATTAAAAAGTCATAGATACATGGCTTTAGGTAAGTGGGTAAAATCTAAAACATAAAACAAATCATTAGAAACATAAAAAACAAAATTGTATATTCAAGGGTGAAAGTTCTTATAAGCTTATGTTAATATTAAATGTTATGAAATATAAAACATAAGTAATTTCTGAAATTTAAAATGTACCAGAAATGGTATTTCTGCATGGACTTGTCCGCCCCCCCCCCATATGTATAGTAATTGTGTAACATAAAATGTTGCTGCAGTCTGTCTTTATCGCTAGGTAATATAAATAAAGTCTTTTAAATCTGTTTTTTGTTTTTTTTTTTTTTTCTGTTACTAGGGATCAAACTCAAGATCTTGAGTTTGCCAAGCAGGCGCTGATGCCGTTAAACTATATCCTTGGCTAAATTGTTATTTCTGACTGTGGGGTGCTTTGAAATTATTTGTTTAGTAGCCTTGGTTAAGGTGACTCTCTTCAGTGTGATAAATGCTGTTTTAATGAGAGAGATGAGCTCTGAGAGATAATTTTCCTAATATTGTGAATGTAGACTGTCACATTTTATCTTTCTTTAGAGTCAGTAGTTAGAGCAAACCATTAGGATGACAATACTTTGCTGTTTGAGCTCACTATTAAGGAAGTACTTTTTAGCTTTTAGGTATCTCAGCAAACAGCTGATTGAACAGATATAATCTGCAGGGATGGAGGAATTGTCTTTTAAGGTTATGTATTTCTTCATTTTATTCAGATTTCCAAAAGGGCAAAAGACTGATGGATATATGGATTGGGTAACTTTCTAAGTAAATATTGAAGAAAATAAAATTTGAAGTAGTATTAGTGAGAGAGCAAGATACAAAAACTATGTACTGTGTAATCATTTGAATAAGGAGAAGGGAAGGACTATATGTATTTTAGTTTCTATTTGTTAAAAAAAAAGAGAAAGTAAAAAAAAAGCCAGGGATTTAGCTTAGCGGTATAATCACCTGCCTGGCAAGTGCAAGATTGCGAGTTCAGTTCCTGGTACCAAAGCAAAACAAAACAAAAATAACCCCCCAAACCTCTGGAAGAGATCAAGAGAAACTGTTATCAATTAGAGGGCAGAGCTGAAACTTGAGCAGATAAGGGACAAGGTTAAAGAGGAGGATATATATATATACTTTAAATATATTTGGGGTGTTTTATTATTTTGGATTTTTTTTTTGAGAGAGAGGATCTCGCTATGTTCAGTCTGGCCTTGAACTTACTATGTAGCTGGCCTCAAATTCATGATGATCCTTTTGCCGTAGCATCCTAAGTGCTGGAATTACAGGCCTGTGCCAGCACACATGACTGTTGGAGTTTTAAAATAGCAGTTTCTCATACCTTCATCTTAGTATAATGAATGTAAAAAGCTACATCTATTCATATTATATACATGTTTTAGACTACTAACTATATGGATATATTATCTTTTAAAATGGCAAGAAATTGAAGCTTTAAAAATTGGCTAATAGTAGCAAAGCTGATTTGTCCTGTATTTTTTCACTGCTGAAGATAGATCCCAGAGCCTCACGTGTGCTAGGTAAGGACTGTACCACTGAGCTACATCTTTATCCCTTAAAAGTATTACATATATTTATGTATATGTATATATATGTATATATATTTATATCTTTATCTTTTTGAGACAAAGTCTTGCTAATCTGTCTCAAACTTGTGATCCTCGGTCTGCAGGCTCCTGAGTAACTGGCATTACGGCTGTGTACTAGGGCATCTGACTGTGCCCTGGATTTTGTAATGTGCATTTGGGCCCTTGTAATTCAATCTAAGACTTTCTGTTCCTTTTGACTAGTTCTCATGGAAATTTTGGGTAAGGTTACTTTGGTGGTTTTGCAAACAATATAAATATTCTGGTCGTCTTTTAAATCTAACTGATGGAAAAGATTTTGAAAGCAAAACTGGCACAGACATATCCCTGATTTGTGGTTATTGACATTCTTCAGAACGAATAGTAAATGCAGACAAATTTTAAAATTAAAGTTGTAGCCAAGGATAGGGATTTAAGCAAAAAGCTCTAGCTGTAAATGACAAGGTTAAGGCCATTGTTACCTCATGCTCCACAACTCCTTGCCAAGGCTCTACCTCTCATATATTCAATTTAGGACGAGGGAGAATCAGAGTTGGGGCATGGAAGGGTGCAGGAGGGCTCCAGCTGGCCCAGCCGAGCACTGAGAGTGTGTAACTGAATCCACACTTGACTTTCCCTGCATCGGTTCAGTTACATCCTCAGATATTAGAGTTACATTGACCAGACCCAGTCTTGGTCATAGAAAGGGTCTTTTTGTGTCCATTGCTGCTGACTCTAGTTCTCTGTCTGATAAAGATGATCATTTTCTGCTCGTAGAACTGTTTTTTTCTACAGGAAGCAAGGATGAGTGTTTACAAATTCAACTTTTTAAAAAAAATTCATCTTTTGCATGTTTGCTGTCTTTCCATCCCTTTGTCCCTTGATCCGCTAACCCAGATCATTGCTTTGTCCCATCCCGATTCTATCACTGAGAGGAGCCAATCAGACTCTGAGTCTCAGCGTCATTGTTGGAACCAACTGGCTCGTGTTCTCTGGTTTCCACTTTCTGTGCCACTTGGGCACCTCATGGACAAGTCCTGTTATTCTTTCCCAGTCAGCTCTATTATGGGAATAGATACTTAGGGAAAACTGGGTAACCCAGTAGTAGAAGCCCTAGTTTGGGAGTCAGTCTGAGTCCAGGACCTGAGGTTGCCATGAACTGTCAGTCCCTGCTTCAGCGCTAGCCCTGGTCTGTGCTTTGACCAGGATATATTCTCTGCCGTTTCCTCTGTTGATGACTTTAGTACCTTACTGATGTAAAGCTGAACTAAAAATAAATACATAAATATAATGAAGCTTGTTCCTTGGAAGACAGGAAATGGACATGCACTGTGTTAAATGCAGCTGTTTTGTAAAATGGGCAGATGAGACGATTTCTCAGGTGTCTTCCGACTCGGTATGTCAGGTTCTGTGAGGAAAGTTGCAGCGGGGCTGCGGGAGGGTGGAATTACTTCTGCTTTCATGGCCCATGATACCTTTTAGAGTCTGTACGTAGGCCAGCCTTGTTCACCAGTGCGTCTTTAAGAGCATTTTTCCTCCTTTCATGTGCGCAGTTGTTTTAGTTATGAATTTTAGATAAGTTTCACTATTTTGTCCTTAGAACAAAAGTGTGTGATATGATTTGCCCAAAGTTATATACTCTGCAGATGGCAAGACAGCTTCTTTTATATGCTGAGCCCTGTTTTCCATGTTTTACTTTTGAATTTGTAAGTATAAAATTAAGAAGAATGATGCAAAGATGTTTGAAGATTTTGTCATCCTGATCTGAAATCAGTTAATGAAGTATTTACTTGGAATCTTAAATCGTTTTGGGGACAAGAAAGATTTTTCTTATTGTCATAATTGGAGCATCTTATATGTAAAGCATAACAATCATAAGAAATACAAAATCTTTGTCATCAAATAGTTTACCATTTGAAAGTTGAATGCTGACAGTAGACTTCTAGTTTTATGTAGTACATGCTGGATTTTGTACAAGAAGGATGTGCCAGGGGAAATGGGAATGAGAATATTGAAGGTTAGGGCCTTGTCCAAATTATGGGCACCAAGCTCCAGTTAGTGTTAATGAGGAAATGGATGATGGTAGAAGTTTGGTAGGACCGGGGAACGCTGGATCTGGCTTTAAGAGCTTTGTAGATGGAGGCAGCTGATTTAGAGTCCCAGGTTAGTGGGTACAATTTTCCAGGTTGGGAATCAGTGATTCTCTTGAGAATGCGGTGCAAGAAGGTAAAGGGTAAGCCTCCACCAACCGGATTGAGGAACTTAGTGTGAGCAGATTGGTCATGCGAAGGAAACAGGCCCAAAGCATAGCCCTGACACTACCTCCTGTGGATGATGTCCTTGGTACATCACAAGTCCTGCAGTTCAGTAGTTGCTGTGACAAGCACATCAGCCATTTTTGTCCGTTCACTTTTTCAAAAGGCAGCTGAAATTTATACGGCCTATTTTCCTGCCTATTCTCTGGGGCCCATTGTTTGCACGCTGGTATTCACATCTGCATGCATGCACTCACACATAGCCACTTAATACAGTAATTCTCAAGCAACTATGGGGTTTTTGGTTTTGTTTTTGGTGTTTTTGGTCCCGATAATATGAGATTGTTAAAACCACTCTTGGCTGTTGTTCTGTGTTGTGTTTTCAAGAAATAAATAAAATGGAAAACCATTTGCAGTAATAATAATTCAAGCTGCTTTGAATAGCCCTTCTGATTCCATACCAGTCATGTAGTACTGGCTCCAGGTGATTATAATTCATGACTATTTTTTATTTTCTTGAAATTTTTGCCTTTTGAGCTATAACTGAATCATCACCAGCATATTTTTTCTGAAACCATACCTACTTGCCCCTTTTGTTTGTCCAAGTGAAACAGCGCGTCAAGTGTGGAATTAGATTAATGGAGTAAATATTATGAATCATACACTCTCTAATCTGATGCTCTTTCTTCTTTCTCTGACCCCATGTTTTGTTTTCTGTCTGTCTTTCTCTCTCTGTGTAGGCTGTCAGTCCAGTGTAAAGCTGTTGGAGCGAGGGAGCAAAGGTAAAGAATGATGTAATGCACTGGCTGCCCCAAAGCATCTTTTGTTGTGGAATGGTTATTCCAGTCATCTCTCTATGAATCAAATGTGAGGGGCTGCTTTGTGGAAGAAGCCCTTTGCAAGAGCACATCAACGGGGAAGAGAAAGAGACATTCAGTTGGAGGGCTCTTGCTGAAAATGGGTTTAACTCTCCTTTTGCCAGTCACCACCAGCCTGACCTCATACATTTTTAGTACAATGGAGTGGCTGAGCCTTTGAGCACACCACCATTACATCATCGTGGCAAATTAAAGGAGGAGGTGGAAAAAGAGGACTTATTGTTGTCATGGCCCATGAGATGATTGGAACTCAAATTGTTACTGAGAGGTTGGTGGCTCTGCTGGAAAGTGGAACAGAAAAAGTGCTGCTAATTGATAGCCGGCCATTTGTGGAATACAATACATCCCACATTTTAGAAGCCATTAATATCAACTGCTCCAAGCTTATGAAGCGGAGGTTGCAACAGGACAAAGTGTTAATTACAGAACTTATCCAGCATTCAGCAAAACATAAGGTAAATGCTTCCCCCTACCCTTTTTTTTTTTTGCCTTTTTAAAGATAAATGTGTAAAGTGGGGAACAATTTTAATTGAAACCTCATTTTTAAGTGGAGAAAGTAATTTGAGAAGTTTTGGTTGCTTTTTAGATTTTGGCACCTTGAAGTACCTCAAAATAATTTACTAATCATACTGTCACATTTAAGAATATTGTAAACTATACTGAAAGGTTAATAATGTGTGCTATTTTGAGTGTAAGCTGTTTTCCTGTTAATGGCTTGCTGAAATTTTTTCTCAATTTAAATATTTGTATTTTCTACAAACTCACTTTGGAAATTAAGTAGGAACTAATTTTTAGGTGTGCTTTTTATATCTGGTCACATTTATGTGTGGTAATACTGGTCAAGACATAAGGATATTACCTTCAAGGAAATTATTCCTAGGATACTGAAATACTGTCTTTGTTAGGGAAGGCTATGTCTTCATGAATAAAAACAAGCTCATCGTTTAAGTTTAATAAACAGCTTATTTATTATTACTAGAAGCCATTCTAAAATGTTTAGGAAAGCTTATTTTACATAGTATGTATTTAGTTTACAAACTTTACATTTTTATGAGTATTTAAAAACCAATACGTTTTGAGCCTATCTTCCTAGAAATAGCATCAGTTTAGCCTTTCAAAGGTTGATGTATACAAGTGTGTATGCTACCTTTTACCAGTAAATTAATCATATCTCATTTTTATTCAAATAATCAATTGAAAACAAGCAGCATTGTTTGCATCAGCACCAATAAGTATGACAACTTGCTCAATTGGTTGTTTTTAAGATTATTTTTCTTGCCTGCCTTCCTACAACAAGCCTCTCCCATTTGCATTTCAGGTTGACATTGATTGCAGTCAGAAGGTGGTAGTTTATGATCAGAGCTCCAAAGATGTTGCCTCCCTGTCATCAGACTGCTTTCTCACGGTCCTGCTGGGCAAACTGGAGAAGAGCTTCAGCTCCGTCCACCTACTTGCAGGTAAGGCTGTGTGTAGCGCAGTGGACTTGGAGCCTCACTGAGCCATGTAAGCAGTATTACCCAGCGAGCGCAGAGTACCGTAGTTCATCGCAGCTGGGATGCATACATTGCGTGAAAGCTTTTGGTGGGGGCAACAGTTCTGTTTAAATTGAATAGTATCATTCTGTCTCACTGGTCAGTGTATTTTTGATTTAACTGAAGGGCCTCTTCCTTGGTATTTATTAGTTAGAAAAACCACGCAGGTCGTTGTGCCTGCATGTTGGCTTAGAGTCAGTTTTTCTGACTGAAGATTTTTCTTTTCACCTGTGATGTAAGAACACCAAATGACCTCAGCTCCTGCCATTAGTTCCCACCTCTGTGGCAAGAATCCGACCAGTATTACAGTGTCAGGCTCTTATTAAATATTTAAAGTCGACTCCAGAGATAGGTCAACTTTCTGAATATTAGTGGACAATGAAATAGGGCAAGAAGTATGCAGAATATTTCTTCTAATTGTTATGGGGACTGTCATAAAACTTGTGTATTTTTATTTTTGCACTGAAAAAACAAGTCTCACTTTACAAATAACCAGATGATTTTAGAAAGGATGTAGAAGAGCCCAAATATTTTATGTCTGCCTGAGGGAGTTCTAAAGCAAACTGTCTATCCTGTTTTGCGGATATTACTGAAGTCCTTCCACTTGCACTGACTCACAGAGGGGAATACAGTTTATCAGTGTGTGGAATCTTAACATAAAGCTGCTCTCAGGCAGATTTATCCACAGGGATAGGCAAGAATGTTTTTGAAAATATGATCTAAGAAAATAAAAATATATGTAGTATCACTTTTATACCTTAAGTGTTTTGTTAAAAGGAGGGTACAGTGAATTTGGCAATTGATTGTTAAGAAGTACAAATATTTCTGACTTAAGAGAAAAGGATTATCCAGTTGTTGGTGATGTCATCACTTTTAAACTCTGCCCAGGTTTAGGTAAGATTTCCATGTCTCCAGCTCAGATCGTCTATAGCCACATCTTTCATTTATGCTTTGGTTGTCTGTCTGATCCCTCTGTGGGTGTTCTTATGTGAAGTCTGAATTGGAATGCCAATTTGAAGATTCTGTGATTAAGAATTGTAGTGTTCCATCCTGCCTGTTGATACGCACTTTTTTTTGTTCAGTGGTGGTGCTGGGTATTAAGCCCAGAGCCTTACATATGCTAAGCAGGTACTCTGCCATCCAGCCTCACGTCCAGCCTGGTAGGCACATTGTTTTTTTTTGGTACTGGCGATCAAACTCACCACCTTATGTTTGTCGGGCAGGCACTTATGCTGCTGAGCTAAATCCTTGGCCCAGGCACATTCTTTTAATGGGAATATAAGTGTGCTAAATATAACAATTTTAGAGTGCCACTAAACTAATTTCCTGAGTTTAAGCCCTCATGGCCTGCTTTTGTAGCCATCGTGAGGGATTTTACTTTGGAATTCTATTCATGGGATCAGGGGTGTTTTTAGAGGTTATGTACCAAGATGTGCTTCATGACAAAGTGACTTATGCCTCCTGCTCTTGTTGAGATACCTTTTCCCAGGGAGGGGAGGGCCCCAGACATGGCAAGCTGGCCATGCAGACACCCTGCAGAGGAGTGAGCACGCTGAGTTCCCAGCACAGGGGTCTTGACTATCTAAGTGCCCTCTCACTCCCTTTGCCAAAGAACACTCCTTCGTTCTTATGAATCATCCGTAGCTTTGGAAGGGCACTCACTGACCAATAAGGAAACACAAGGATCCAGTCTGATCATCTAGTTCAGCCCGAGGGTCTCATGGAATGACACCATGAGTCAGAAGACTCCAACATCCTCATTTCATACAAGAAATGTTTCTCAGCCCTCAGCCAAAGCCTAGGCAGCATCATGAACCACAATGACTGTATCTATCGATGGCACCTCATCCTCATCTGCATATCCAGAGCCCTGTATGTCCTACAGCACAGAAGGTGGCTTCCAGGTCTGCAGTGTCTCATTTGGGAGTTTGTAAGCAGCCAAACCTCTTCTAACACCCAGGAGAGAGTCCTGGATTGTTAAAAGTGTCCCCAGCCATTGAAAAGCTTCTAATCATCTGGGACTTCTCTTGGTAGATAAAAAATTGGCATGAGGGGAAAAGAATGCTGGGAAAGTAAGGCCATAGATTTTTGGGAAGCAGTTTTTTTTTTTTTTTTTTTGCCTAATTTCAGCTGCTCACTGGATAAACCAGGAATGTGAGACAGAGGATGTATCAATGAAAGTTGCTTAAATATTTTGCTTGGGGAGAAATACTTGGCCATGGGAAACCACACAGTTTCCCACAGAGGCTACCATAAATTACCAGGTCACAATGATACAAACAAAGTGCTTTCTTAAAGTTATTTTTCCATCAATTTAGAACTTTCTACCACCTTGAGAAAGGAAAGCATCAGTTTGAGCTGGCGTTTATGCTCACTAGGTAGGAAAGTGAAGAACTGTAGCACTAGTTCTGCTAATACTGCCAGGATTTCCTTATTCAGAGATGGATGAGTTTGAAAAGAGGGAATAAGAAGGTTTCCTAAAAAACTGATAAGAGCATCTTTTTTTTGAGACAAGGTCTCATTATGTGGTATGTAGTCCAAGCCAGCTTCAAACTTGCTACATTGGCCAGGGTGGCTGGTCACACTGCTTCCGTTTCCTGAGTACAGGGATTATAGGCATGCACCACCGTGCCCAGCTGATAAAAGCATCTTAATGAGCTTTTCTCTCAAACAAGGGGGCCAAAATTTATGTGGAGAACCTAGTGACAAACAGTGACAAAATCTGAAAGTTGAGAACATGTGATTGCTTTGAGATCAGTTATTTGCAAAGTGCATTTATTCAGATAGAGCAACATGTAACTGCTATGGAAAATTTTTCATCTAAGTAGATTTAAACATTAGAATCTGATAAAAATACTACAGTTAAACAATGCTAATTTTTTGTGATTCTTAAATACTGAAATTTGATAAACAGCTAATTCTAAAAATTTAGCTTTATTCATAGAAAGATACAAATTCTTAAAACCATATCAATGGAGAAAATTAAAATAATATTTGTATTAAAAATGTAAATATAATGCTGGGCATGGTGGCACCTACCTGTAATCCCAGAACTCAAGAGCTGAGGCATGAGGTTCCCTGCAAGTTTGAGATCAGTCTGGGTTACATAATGAGTTCAAAACCAGTCTGAGCTACATAGTAAGACCCTGCCTCATAATGTAAGGTTTTTTTAAAAAGGTATTAAACCATAGCATTGTTTCAACTCCCTCTACCCCATTCCTGCTTGAAAGGTTTAATCCTCATTTTTTTTTTTTTTTTATCTTTTTCCTTTTTATCGGTACCAGGGACCGAACTCACGACTGCCTGCTTACAAGGCAGGCGCTTATGCCGCTGAGCTAAATCCCCAGTCCCTAATCCTCATTTTGCATCCACATTTTTAGCAAAATACAATGAGATTTTCCGTCATCTTTGTTGGATAGGTTATGGTAATTACAGCCTCACCTCCACACACACCTTTCTCAGATTTTGAAGTTGGTATTGGATAAGCCCAGTTTAAAGACCCACATCTATCTTCTGTATCACCTTTTTAAAAATTATGACTTAAGAATTTACATTATTAGAGTGCCAGAATAGGAGAGACATAAAGTTTTGATGTTTTTTTGTTTTGTTTTGTTTTTTGAGACAAGGTCTCACTCTGTAGTCCAAGCTAGCCTTAAACTCACTATGCAGCTCAGACTGGCCTTGAACTTGAGGCAATCTTCCTGCCTCAGCCTCCTGAGCACTGGGATTACAAGTGTGCACCACCACGTTTGGCTGAGACATAAACATTTAGTATGTAAAAAAAGACTTTGTAACCTAGAACAGGCTTTTGTTAAGGGACAAATGTGTAACTTGTATTTGGCTAAAAAAAAAAAATTGGCTTTCTAATAATTCGAAGAGAATTTGATTCTATTGGGAATATTCCAGGAAAGTTTATGTAGTTAATTTAAACCTTAAAAGAACTATAAAGAAATGTTTACCAAGAATAAAGTATTTTGGACTTGCAACAGAAAGTCCCAGATGTCCAGGACACTGGGTTAACGGTGGCAGTGGGTAATCTAGATTGGAATCGGCAGAGGCCAAGCCGGAGACAGGTGCTGCTCTGCTCTGCACCTGTGCCGTGTTTGCGCACAGTAAAAGTTCAGACTGAGCAGAAGAAGGGAGACATGACTTTAGAGAATCCAACCATGAATGATTTTCAGGGTTTGCCAGTAAGTAGATTTAATGTAAACCTTAGATACTGACAGAAGGAAAGACCATGTCAGAAGAGAGGCAGGAGGGAAGAAAGGCTGCGTCAGCGTTGGAAGGAGTCGGCGCTGGCTCTGGCTCCGCTGTCCTAGTGTCCTTCTGCTGGCCATGGAGCGCCTGCTGGAGGCTGACGTGGCCGCGGCAAGACCTGGGCGGAGGGTCCCACCTTCAGCCTGTTCCATCTCTTCCCTTTTACGTGTGGGATACATCATTTAATCTAAGTTATGGTGATGTTTTTTCAGCTCCAGAAGAAAGATAACTCTTGCCTTATTGTGAAAATCATGTTAGTGTGTCTAAAATCTTCTGTCAGTGTCTTTTTGAACAGGAACTCTTAAAAGACAAAATAACCAATTACTAATAGTTGCTTACTGATCAACTCTTTTGGATTTGTTCAGAAAACTAGTTCTGTTTCGTAGCTTATATCACTTTATTTTATTTGCCCTTGTCTATTTCTAAGAGCCAAATTTATTTACATTAATTATACAAAATAAATACAGGAAGAAAAAGGAAAATGCTGAATTTTAGCTTTCATTTTGTGTTAACATACAGAAAAGAGAAAAAACAGTGGATTCACTTAATAGCAATAACATTGAACGTATAGTAGCTGTGTGTGGTGCACACCCTTGTGCAGGCCCAGGACTCAGGAGGCTGAGGCAGGGGGATCGCCAGGAGTTCAAAGCCAGCCTGAAGGAAAGAAA